CACAGTGATAGCAATGGGCGAAGTGTGGAAACAAGAATTGTAGCTGATACAGCAGTGTTCATAATGGTTGCTAAGGAATGTAGTGCTATGTTCTGGGTGTAGAGCAGAAAAAGTAGACTATGTTAAAGCATTAGTATGCATAGTGATTCCTGTAGTTTTATGATTTGTGTTTTAGAATATGTGAATTTATTGAAAGTAAACATTGTATTGAATTGTGACATATCAGCAGATGCACTGCCCCCCAGCAGGACATGTCATATTTGTTTATATAATATAATTAATTCTACTAGTAGTAGCCTTTGAGAAGTTCAAATTCTAGAATATCAAGGAACTTTATTGAGTAGGATACTAAACCGGTTAAGTCCTCAAACTTATTTCACTAAGATGCATTTTAATATTATCCTCTCAAGTCTGTCTCTGTCTTCGTTCTGACACATTTCTCACCGATGTCTGAGAAAAGTCCATAACCTATGTAATGAAGTTCAAGGCAAGTAAATTTAAATGTAATCTATTTCAGATCAGAGTTTTCTTTTATGATTTTGTCTTAAAATTAATGCAATTTGTGTTACAGTACAGTGAGAAAATAACTTATAACATGGCTTCTCCACATAGAAAAATATATAATTATCTAACTTGGTACACCTATGTGACGAGTATAGAGTTATGTTATATATTCTATGTTATGTCTCTGCAATATTTAGAGAAATATAAAGTCAGTGAAATCCAAATTTTATTAAATTACTAAATTTTGGTACCAACTTTACATCAGTATATGTTTATGGATATCTGATATGTTTTTATTGTAATGACATGGAATAACACTAATTTGTCATGTTTAATTTTCAATGAATAACCATTACATTGAACATATTCATGCACCAATTCACTTAACAACATATCAACATGTCCTCCAGAAGTCTAGAGCAAATGAAAACAATATAAGTTCATCGAAACTTTAGAATAATAATTATAGTGATCTGATAATCTGTGAAAGAAAACTAATTATATTCACCTAACATTACAGCTATCAAACGTAACAAAATTCTACAATCATATAATTTCAAAATTACCAAGCAGGTTAGCAGTGTTGTTCCTGTGCTTTTGGGGGTGAACACACACTGTTCTACAGCCAACGTGTGGAGACATATTGCAAACAGAAACAGCATCAAGAATATGAAACTGTCTACTGACGGGTTGTGAATTGGTATGCTGCTGATATGAAATAATGCTCAACTGATTTCAAAATTAGGACTTATTACTATCATCTATAATTTCTGCAAAGAACAGCAGCTTATGTCCCAGTGGTGTGACATTTCCTTTGACTTTGTGAATGGATGCATATTCCCAGTGGAAGCAGGAACATCTGTCTGAAGCACACATTGAACTACGGATCATGGCAAGAGGAGCTCCGCGCAAACCGTAACGTTAAGACTAAAACAGTACCGCATGGAACCTTTAGTGTTTGAGGGCCCATCCACAGGAGGATGGGATGGGTACTTGCAGCAAATTGGGTACGCCATAACATCGGCATGGTCTTATCAGGCTGGTCATGATAAAGTAACACTGGGCCAGACAACTCTGTACAAGTATTTGATATGGTAGCCGCCAGAACTCAGGGCTTAGGTTAAGGTCGAGTTGGACACTCTGTGTATTTGGTATATTTTTTTACTAGTTTGTAAGGTGTTGTCCTCCTGCCCTCCCCATTAGGTGCCCCAAGATAGGATCTGTGGTTAGGCAGCGTGAATTTAGGTTTTGCGTCCAGTGTTGCCCTCTGCTGGCATAATGGCCACACATTAGGAGGGTGTCGTTTTTAAGGATGTCTTTATGTGTTTTTATGGCACACGGTGACAAATTGACAGGGTTCCGTCGGCACGAAAATGAAATCAGTGCAGGCGGAAGAGAGATAAAAGGAACTTTAGCAGTCTCTTTCTGTGAATGACTTGCATTGGAAGGAAAAAGATTCAATAAAGCAAATTTAATTTTGCTTTGATCTGTCTTTCACTTCAATGCTGAAAGACAAGTGACTGAATCTACATGGACATCCAAGATAGATTTTTGCCACACCATAGCTCAAGCGGTTAGTCGCTGGCTTCCCACCACGGTGGCCCAAGTCCAATCCCAGGTGTGGTCAAGTGGGATTTGTGGTGGACAAATTGGCACTGGGGCAGGTTTTCTCAGAGTACTTTGGTTTCCCCTGCCAATCTTCATTCCACCAATTGCTCCACACTCAACCTCACCTATCATCTGGGGCTGGTACAATAGGCCAGAAGTAGCCACAGTACAAGGGACTTAGTCCCACCCCACTAGCAATAAAAAAAATAGATTTTGATATGTATGAAGTGAAATGTTATGTTTGTTTCTGTGTATTGTGTTATGAATTTAATTTATAAAATCTGCACTAGCTTCAACAATTAGAGAAGACATCAACTGTTGTAATGAGGAAATACATAAGGTAACTCAATGAAACACACTTCAGCTTCAGCATATAGAGAATGCATCGACTGTCAGCGTGAAGAAACGTGTGATCAATTGATCTCTGAATTGAATAGTGCGTCATTCAAACACAACTTGTTTGAGTTTCAAGCTCAGGTTTGCCACAGTTCTCTTCTCCAAGTAGTGTATTTTAAATATATTGAACATTTTAATATTACATTAATCATTAATGGAAATTCTCAATAATATGAAGACAATTTTTTTGATATTGTAATATTTCTGTATGATAATTAGGCCAATGTGGTATAAAACAATATACAGTCAACTCTCGATTATCCAGGGGCGGATTAACCGGTTTGCGGCTTAACCGGGGCTACTGAGGTTTTTTTGAGGCTTATATGTTGTTTAATATTCATTCACTTTTGTTTCACATGGTGAGTTGTAACACTATTTTCGCACTAGTGTGAACCGAGCTCTGCATTATTTGGTCCCATTATGCTAATACAGTGTTCTAGGGTAGGGGTGAAAGAATGCAAGGATTTGTGGAAAGTTTCGAGGACAGATACACCGCCCCAGTTGGTCTCTTTGTATCGATCTTCAAGTGCGTTAGCAAAATGTCAAGGTGTAAAAGGAAGCATGTTGTGTTGAGTATTCAACAGAAACTCGTGTGAGCTGGGCATCAAAATGTTAAGCAGTGACGAAACCGTAAGTCAGTGGGGCTGCAGCCAGAAGAGTGGGAAGAAAGTGAGAATGAGGAAGAGGTGGACAGTGCTGCTAGTAAGAAAATATCACATGGTGCTGCTCTTAATCATTTGGAATCCTTACTAGACTATCTTGAGAGCGAAGAGAACAGTTTATGAAGTGACAAGCTAATATTACGTAGGCTTCGTACAGATATCCGTAAAAAGGAAAATGCTGTGAAAAAGCAAATGACAATATTAATCTTTTTTTAAGTGTTAAGTGTGAATATTCGTAAAAAGTGTTGGATGTTGTTGAACACTGTGATTGAAATAACTAATTCACACTTCAGTATAATGTAAAAAAAGTATTAAATAGGCCATGAGATGATATAAAAATGAGGCTGAGTAAATTTAAATACAGGTAGGCCTATAGTATTATGAAGGTACAGTATTACAGTACTACTTTTAATAAAATTTGTCTTAACCGGGTTTTCGATTAATTGTGATTTCCATGCCCACCATTATCCCGGATAATCAAGAGTTGACTGTAGTTTTGTTAGAAGGAATATGAGTAGGTTCATATGTCTTGTCACTTTAAAGGAAGAACACACAGACAGTGTTTCAGTACAGAGTGCTGAGGAAAAAATTTGGACCTCTTAGGAGAACTGACAGGAGTTTGGAGAAAACTGCATAAAGACCAGCTTCACAATTTTAACTTCTCACTAATTATTATCAGAATGGTCAAATGAAAGAGGATAAACCAGGCAACATGTAGCATGCATGAGATAGAAGAGGAGCATATACAAAGTTTATTGGAAAACCTGAAGGAAAGAGATCACTAAGGAAACCTAGGTGAGCATTATATTAAAATGAATCTTAAAGAGACAGGATTCATCTGGCTGAATACAGGGACCATTAGTGGGCTCTTGTGAACATGGCCATGAACATTCAAGTTCCATAAAATTGTAGGAATTTCTTGAGTAGCTGAGCATATATTTGTTTCTCAAGATCGATTTGGTTCCATGGAGTTAGTTACTGGTATTTGCTTGGTTGGTTGGTTTAGTAAGTTAGTTGCCATAAATGTAATTATAGTACAGCATTAATGAATGGCTTATGCTTAGAGTGCAGGAAAGGTTTTATATAACAGAAATTTGTGTGACTGAGATCATCCCATCTGGCCTTAAACAACTCCCACTAATGGGATGCACACCACTCATGTAGAAATGCTGATGTGGATGGCACCTAACTGTGTCTAATAGAAATTTCCACCCCTAGCCTGGACGATCTTAACCTTAATGTCACAGAAAACAGAGTTAAACGCATTGCAGTAGCAATCTGCAAACTTGTTAAATGCATCTAGTAATGTATTGCTTATAGTAAGTGACAAAATGAGGTGAATGTTCCAACCATGGGCGCAAAAGAGTCAATGCATGGCACGAATTCTGATTGTGTATGCCTTTGATAATTATCATGGGAGTTTATAGCCACACGCATGATGTTCACATTGCTGTGAGCTGCTTAACCATGATTCTAGGTGGACTGAAGTCACTGGCGACATGTGGAGACAAGTATTTAGTGTAATGGAATATTCAGATTGCATGATACTTGCAATGTTTAATGATCATAAGCATATATACCGGTAGGGAGGAAAGTGAAGCATCTGCTGTGCTTAACTCCCCCATGGATTAAAAAAATTAAATTTGAAAAAAATACCAAAAATTGAAATTATATTTAAAATTATGTACTCCTGAATACGTTAGGGACAGCGGTAAAGTTAGTGTATATGCGTTAACATTCCGATGTTACTCTTATACGAATTAAACGTAACTTTATAAGCAAATTTTATGTCATCCCCCCCCCCTGGAAGAAATTCTGGTGGTACCTTACCTGTCACAATGGCTGTCATATTCTCGAAATCTGGGCCGGGAGGAGGAAGGCACACTGGCCAGATGTAAGAGTTGAAGGCTGTCTGCCGATCCATCTTCAGAATTGCAATATCATTTTCATATGTTTCAAATGAAAAATTCAAATGTACACGAATGTCCACTACCTCAAAGTTCTGAACTCGCGTCTCATTGGAACGAGTAAAGTCATATTCACCCAGACGAACTCTTATATCCTTTGCAGTCATTCTGAAAAGACAGGACATACATAGTTAATTTATTCTTCTTGTCAGAGATAATTCAAGTAAGTTTACGAGTCATTTGTGTATGTGAGAGAAAAATTAATGAACGTGTATTCACCTTATACAGAATATCATTTTTGAAGTCCAATTGAAATTCACAAACTACCACTTCATTTAAATTCTGGAAAAGACAAATCCTGACTGTAAACTTCAAACTTGATGAATAACATGATTACAATTATCACTTTCAGTAAAAGCAGTAATAATCACTTACAACTCATTTGATGAATATTAATTTCTTTATTACTTAGTGTTTACTTAACAAAACTGTCAGTGAACAGGATGGTCTAGCAGTAACAACTTGGATTCCTATTCAGAAGATGTTTGCTTGAATTTTGGCGAGATCATTGGCTATGCTGGCCGAGATCTTTCATGATGTTCCTCAGTCTCTCCAAGCAAATGCTGGGATAGTAACCCAGTTAGGTCATTACAGCTTCAAATCTTTTCAGATTTGTCATTCATCAGTTGTCTTATCTTCCTATGTTATACAGTTTAACACTGACAGCACTGTTATACAATCGATTTAAGTAAGTGTCAGTGTTGAAACACTCTGGCGTGAAATGTTAGCACAATTACCAAATAATGAAATGAGAACATGTGGAAGGAAGTGGCTAGGGCCTAATTTGATGTACTGTCTTGGCATTTGCTTGTAGGGGCTTAGGAATGCCAGAAACATCTCGGTTAAGTAGCTGACCTCTGGGCTGAAATATGAACCCAGGAGCACCTGAATATGTAGCTGAAATGTTACCTAACCTCTCATGATGTCTGATGCCTCTCTTTATGAAATACCCAGTTTTATTTATTGGTACACTGTTGGAGAAATTGAAGCAATATGAATTGTAACTGGTTCATTTACAGTCATTTGGAACGTGACGCCGTGTAGTCTGGCAGACGAGTATTGGCTGATTTCTCTGAAGTTGCTGCTTCCATTATCAGGGTACAAGTGTAAGCCGCGTGTGGGAAAAAGCTTATGACTATAAGGAGAGGGGGGATGGGCAAGGAGATCTTTGACAGGAGAAAAAAGGAGGGAGGAATGAGAGCTGATGTCACTGACACGGGACACTGCATCCGTTTACTTCTAGAACATCTAAACCGGGACAGCTCTTTCTTTCCCATGCCTTTCCCTTTACTTTTCAATCTGCGCGGACACTCCCTTTACATGCAGCAATTCATCTCTGACTTCCGGTGCAAGAGGAAGTGTTGGAGGACCATGACTCACCTGTGGAGGCAGTGAGCCGCGGTGAGCACGTGTAGGTCCGTGATGAGTACCCCGCCACAGAAATGGCGGTCCCTGTCTCTCAGCAGTGCGACCATCCACGGCCACTCCTTGGGCTCTGCCGGTTGACCATCCACAATGCGTACGCGGGCCACAGTGCTCACACCGCAACCTGCAACACAGCCCCAGTTATGCTCAGCTCTGTGGAGCCTTGATCCCTCATGTCCCACCCAGCAAGTGCGTGCCAGTAGAGTTCTGCGTATCTTCACTCAGCTTCATCGCGGTTATCCAGAGACTCTCCAGAATGTTCACGATAGCTTTCTTCCAAAACCGTACATATTCACACTCATGATGAACCGTTGTCATGTAGTAGTATCAGAACACGAAACTAACTCTGCAGGGCACACAGCCCTTCTTTACAAACTGACAGTCACTCAGCTCCCCAAGAAACTCCCCGCGTGTTATGGAAGCCTCAAGTTCATTACCGTAGTCACAAGAGCCTACCGTCCCAAGGACCATTTTAGTAGGCTAGTATTTTCCCAAACATCACTAGATTTCATGAATATGCTTCTCCCTAATGATGACATATGGGGCACCAACTTCCAAAAACTTCCACCAAATTTTCAAACTGGGAAGTCGTTACGACCGGAGCAGGAAACCAGCGCTGAAGAGCTTCACAGGAGAGCAATAGTGTTACAGTATTGTCTGTACAAAGTTTAAATTTTAAGTACAGTGGTAACTATATGTATCACCTGCCTTAAGTTGAAAAAAAAAACAGCATTTTAACAACTTGGGGTATTTATGCATCTTTGTTATTCTCAAAATAAACATAAATTACTTCTTAACAGAACGTAAACCAGTGACATTTCTAATGGAGATGATACGCGTCTTCTGTCTGCTATTAGTCAAATTTATAAATACTATTTAGATTAATTTCCTGAGATTCTGAGAATCCTACCATACATATAAACACGCTGTTTGAGAAAAGGGAATATTTTTAAACGTTAAAGCTTATATCAAGACTCTGCTATGAAGCCCCTGATTATCCGTAGCATGTCTAAGAACACTGACCTCTGACCTGAGGTGGGGGTGAGCCAGGGGTTGGTGTTGAGGAGAAGACCCCTAGACTGCTAGGAGGCAAACCCGGGTCGATGGCAGGCAGTTGACCTGCGGCCTCTGAGCCAGGGAGACCACCGTCAGCGTTACCAATAACACTCTCCTCCTGACCCTCTGGGCAACACACGCCAACATACCTGGGAACATACACACATGGAAGTAGGAACGATTGTAATGGCATAGCTCAGCGGTATGCATAAGCATTCACAGCGGTCGTGGATTTTGATGAAGTTGTTTGCAGCAGCATCTGTTAAATCTGAGGGCTGTCGGCCGCAGTACAGTGCGTAATATGACATTAGGGTATAATGCGTTTCGATACAGAGTGTCCAGGTTCAAATCAGGTCCGCATTCGACCCTGTGTTTAATTAAGCAAGTCCCCATAAAAATATATGCGGTCTGTAAGTATATATTCATGCGTTCTTAACCTGAGCAGTAGTTAGAAGTCAGCTCCACGCTGTGGCAGCTTTACCTTCCCACCCCCCATCCTCATCCAGGGAAAGAGCTGACATTACCATCTGGATAGACGCTACTGGGTTCCAGATTCAACCTAGACTCTGGAGAACAGAGTATCTTGTCCCTGCCTGGGGAATCGAACCCCGGCTCCTCTGTCGACCATCCCTACCCTAGTTTCTCTGCCGATTGCGCTATCACAGTTCCCGTGTTCAAACCTCGGCTCTCCTGTTCCGAAGTCTCTCCACGCTAACAGAGGTTGAATATCTTGGAACAGATGACGTCTTCCGCCTTCATTTGGCTCAAGATAGGGTAGAGTGGCCGTCCGTTGCGAGGTTTCCACAAAAGGCGGGAAACGTTTCGACTAGCTTCTGAAGGACTACTCCATTGAGTTTGGAGCATATGGCTCATTTCTCAGTTTCATTGATCATTTTTACAGACGGTAGAGCTCCTTGAACCTAAACACAATACAACACAAACACAAAATAAACGCATACACACACACACACACACCAAACATCCATGCCTTGTGTGGGATTCGAACCCACGATCCCGATTTCCGAGCGAGCGAAGANAGGTAGAAATCACTTGGGGCCAAATCGGGACTGTACGGTGGATGTGTCAGAAGCTTCCATTTTAATTTCCGGAGGGTTTCCAGTGTTGTTTTGGCCGTATAGGGGCGTGCATTGTCTTGAAGGAAGGCTACCCGCTTTCCACCTGTCTTCCGCTTGGATCGGATCTTTTCCTTCACGTCTGTTGCAAGGAGGTCTGAGTAATAAGCTGCATTGACTGTTCTGGCATCTGTCAGAAAGTCTACGTGGATAACCCCCTGCCAGTCCCAGAAGAACGTTGCCATCACTTTTCCTGCCGAACGGCTCCTCCGCGCTCTCTTGGGTTTGGGAGAACTGGTATGCCACCACTCGCGTGATGATTGCTGGGACTCGGGAATGAAGTAGTGCACCCACGTCTCATCGGTGGTCACTATAGACTTCAAAAATGAATTACCTTCGTCTTCAAACTGCTGCAGGAGACGACTGGCTTGCATGCGCACCATTTTGTTCACGTCCGTCAAAGTGCGTGGTACCCACCGTGCATTCACCTTGAGATAGTGCAGGTGGTATTTCACGATGTCTTCTACACTACCAACACTGCTGGACCGAAGATAGAGGAAAAGCCTCTGTGCTCTGTATATATTCCATATGTGAAGGTTGTTTCTGAAAAGTTTAAACTGTTAGGGAATCGATACAACATTAGGACCATCTTCAGAACAAAACACACTCTTAGGAACCCTCTCATGAAAACCAGACGAAAAAGAGATCCGCAACAGACGGCACAGTGCGTCTATAGCATTCCCTGTGAATGTGGCAGAAGGTACATTGGCGAAACAGGCAGACTCCTGGCCGTGCTGCTCCGTGAACGTAGGCATAACCTCAAATAAGATCTTATAGAAAAATCAAATTAGCTCAACATGCCTATGAAGAGGGAAATAGGGTAGGCTGGGATGAAGCTAAGATTGTGGATATTGAATTCACAACAGGTATATAAAATACAACGAAGCGGCCCATATATCATGCTCGGTCAGCCCAATCAGCCATGATGTCACAAATTCACAGAGAAGATCTGTATGACGTGTTATATGCTTTATTGATTTATATTAGGTTCTAAATTAGATAGGCGCGATTCACTTCATTGAAGACACAAGTAGTAAACTATTAGTTTTCACTAGTTCTCCTTTCTATTCCATGCTTAGGGTTCATGGACTTGGTTATTAGTTTGGTTTCGGGGCATAAATTTCTACCCCCCTATCTACCCTGGTTCCACGCATGTGCATGCTTGTAACAATTTTTAGTGCTTATTTTTCCTGTTAGCTCTCATGGACTTAGCCTAGTCTCAGGTGTTTATAGCCTTAGTGTTTTGACAACGGTTGTCCAGTGATTGAATCAACAGAATATGTGCCTTCACTCACGTGAGGACGGAAACAGATCCAGTTTCGGAAAGGTTGTGTTTTTTTCTTAGTTATTTAGAATCCGGACGATGGATAAAGTCCGAAAACCCAGTATCTCTGTGTGTTATACACCATCGTCAGAACCCTTTAGTATAACAATAAATGAGTTCCAAGAAAAGGAACCGACTTTATGTAATGCATGTGGAATATGTTTGCTGTCCCTTTCAGTATCACATTACATAGTGTCTAAATTTTAATGGAAAAAAACACTTAAATAAGGAATGAAGTTTATGCATATAATTAATTACAAACATAATGGGAACGGATATTCTAATCACACCCAGGAATTCTACCGAAATACTTGTAAACAGTTTTAACAGCCGTGACTACCGTACATATTGGTAGGAGTACCCAGTAAATGTCGTAGTATCTTTGTGTCGGACTTACTGTCTCCTGGGATGTCACGCAGCCCCGGCTACTGCGGATGTAACTGCCCAGTTACACGGCGTCACTTGTAATGTTTACAGTCACCTCAGTCGAACCATCGCTTTCCACGCATTTTTCGGTGTTCTCTATTAGGTTCGCTGTAGGCAAAGGCCAGCAGCATATACCAAAGACAGACCCGTCTCCTCGTCAGAGAGGGTGCCCCACAGGAAAAAGACAGTAACTGTCAAACAGTAATAAATATCTGGTCATGAGCCCCATATGAGGCTCAGAACCAAGACTTACTGACCGACTGACCGTCAGTCGCAATATGATTCTGACTTTGAGACCAGTTCAGTTTGTATTTGACCTTAGAAGAGTAGAATTGGTATTCGGCTCCGAGCAGAAGAACTTCACCGAGAATAGCGGTGCGAGAGTGTCGTAACATTGAAGACGAAACGTCCGACGACTTCATAAGTTGTGAATAATTGTTAGTGTGAGTGTAAAAGTGACTCCAATAAATATTCGTTCAAATCCGAAACCCATACAATTTCTTGTCGCGTTGCCTAGCAAAAACGCGACAATATGTTACGCTTTCAACTCGACCAGATCCGAACAGCTACGTTAGCATAGAGACGAATACGAGGAGCTGGGGTTCGGTTCTGGGCAAACGCATGAGAGATCTCTCTTCTCCATAGCGCCCAGAGCGGCTCTGAGGCCCACACATTCTGCTCTCTTATGGGTACCGGGGGCTATTTGCCCCGGCTTAAAGTTGCCGGAACCTGAAATTGACCATCGCCTTCACCTAGTGCCGAGGTTAAGATTGTATGGAGCTATACCTCTATTTCCCCACACGTCTACAAGTACGGGAACGTTAGCGTGTGACAACACCAGACAAATTAGGGGCTAGAGCATTGAAGACATGCAAACTGTAAGTCACAAGGGGCCGGGAAGAGTGGAGGGGATTGCGACCAGAAGTGACGCTGTTCAGGGAGTTAGGGAACTTGATCGTATTTGAGTTGCGACCTAATAAAACTAGGTTCATTTTCACAGTGACGAAAGACAGACTAGATTTTGTGACAGCTTGTCAGTGACACCGGATTAACCCTGTAAAGCACAATAATTTCTATATTTACCATGTGCTGCAACATCTCAAAACTCAGCATATTGCAACCGAACAGGTTGATGTAGTGGTTAAACCTTACATTAGTATTCGGGAGGTTTTCGATTCAAATCCCGGCCGGGACACCATGTATACCGAGTTTCTTTTGTGGTTTTTCTCAGTACCTCCAGGTAAATGCCGAATACTATCGCTATTAGGGCACAGCTTATCATTACTGACAAACTACTCTATCATTCGATACTACATAGAATAATCTAGGTACCGAGGGCGTCGATAAAATTATAACTACGTTTTCCCACACCTTGTATTTAAGTATTCAATATGATTCTCGCAATGAACAGTAACTGTTTCGCCGAGCATCATTAACCGACTGGTCTTTGTAATGGAGCTGCAGTTTGTTTTCTGTGATGTAGAAGAAAGTTCCTTTTTTTTTAATATTGTTCATATGAACTCGGGGCTTTAAAGGTTTAATATGACCACACTCTGAGTGCCTTGAAGTTCAGAGTTGAACCAGCCTTGCATCGCAGCCTTGTTTAATTCAAGTGAACTCAGAATATCACTCCCGCTCACACGTTCTGTTTAACTCCCCAGATAGCTTCCAAAAAGGACATTTGCCGACTGAATTGAGTATTTTATTGGATACAGAAGTATTCAACCCTTTTTTAATATTATTATTTATGGAGGACATTTCAACTATAAAAGTTGCAGGCATTAGGATACCGAATAAAATATTACGATTTTAGATGGGCTGTATTCTTGCTTCAGCACGGAAAGTTTCAAGCAGGATCAAACGTATCCCTGGCGATATTCAAATCCGCCAACACCCTCACGCCTGGAACTTTACTGCTTCGCAAATCTGCTCGGGCTTTCTCCGCAGTTCAGTTTACAAAATTTTTGCTCCCTACAATTACAATTTCCGTTGCTCATTACCAGCAATGCAATTTACATCTGGCCTTGCAAATGAGGGGATAATTGGGTCCAGTTGTTGTGCTAGTAAGTATTGGGGCCAAGGGCGAAGGGGGTCGTGCAAACAGTTCTGAATTCTGAAATGCCACAGAATTTCAAATCCATCTACCCAGGGTCATCGCATATCACCGAATGATTTGGCTGCTCTTCCTGTTCAACCGATCATACTGGTGCATTGACAAGATCGACAAGATAATACTGCACTCGTGGTGCGAAGTACTCACCGGCCTTCAATGACGCATGCGTAGTCGAGGAGTGCGTGCAAGGTGCGGTGCTCCCCGAACAGACAGTACCTCAGATGCCGACAGCGGCCTTTCTTGCCGCGCGGGCTCGTGCACTCCTGGTCCTCCTGGTAACCCTCGCCCGGCTGACAGCACAAGAGGCAGAACAGAACGCTAATGGGGATATTCGGTCATAGAAGATAAAGCAACAGGAGGGGAGGGAGCCAGGCATCTATTACTTGAATTTTTGAGTAAAGAAATCAAAATTGAAAGGAAAGAAAAAAAAAATTAATTAAAGAATATATTAATCTGTCCTCAGTGCTCCAGAGCTAGCGGTAAAACCAGTCTGAAGTTGTTTCGATTTATATTTGTAAGCAAGTGTGGCGTCCCCTTGAAAGAAATCCTGGCCCCCCCTCCCCAGGCTGGAGCTTCGCATATGTGCTCTTCACCAGACACCGTTAGGGAGATTAGATCAGTGATGATAAAAAGGATCAGATGGGTTGGGCAGGTAGTATGAAAGAGGAGTATGATGTCTTTTGTTTTTATTTCTAGTGGGGTGGGACTAGAGTCCCTTGCACTGCGGCCATTTCTGGCCTATTGTACCAGCCCCAGATGATAGGTGAGGGTGATTGTGGGGCAATTGGTGGAATGAAGATTGGCAGGGGAAACCGAAGTACTTGGAGAAAACCTGCCCCAGCGCCACTTTGTCCACCACAAATCCCACTTGACCAGACCCCGGGATCGAACCGGGGCCGCCGCGGTGGGAATCCAGCGACTAGCCGCTTGAGCTATGGCGGGGCCCAGTACGATCTCTTAGTCTGAAAACCTGAGAGAAGAGACCATCTGGGCACTTTGTCACAATACGGGTGGGGAAGGGGGTGTAACGGTAGGGATGGTCTCAGACTAGTAACGTGGGCTTCGCTGAACTGGCTCAGGATAAAGTTCATTTGCGAGGTCTTGTGAATGCACTATCGGCCATTCGGCTTTCACCAAACGGGGGAAATTTCGTGACCAGCTGAGCTACTGTTACCTTCTGAAGGATGATTGTACTCTTTTGGAGTTGTTTTGATTGTTGTTAGACATAAGAACATTACGATATTTCGGTGGCCATCGACACAAAAACTAATAGATAAAGCTGTTATTAAAAGTGTTAATATTCAGTTTTATTATACAAGAGTATATATATCCACTGCATGTTTCGACCTAAAAGATCATCAGGTAATACTCGTGAATATATGTACCCCTTGTTATTGAACTGTCTATCTAAAAATGGATACATTTTTCGTTTTTGCAATCATATGGCTTTAATGAAGCATCCACCAGTAACAGATGCCTTAAATACAATCTGCTAAACGGGCTGCAAAGACATAACGTAAGAACATTTGACTGTGAGTTCCTCTAAGTCAGTTTCAGCCGTTTCAGCTGTTGGATTTGTATCAAACTGGGACACAAAATCTACTGCAGAAAAAGCTTTGACATGTTCTGTTGCTCAGAATCGTATTTCATGTAAGGGTAACATGAAAAATTGCCGGTCACGGTAGCCGAGCGGTCTAAGGCATACACTGTCTTCGCTCGCCCGGAAACCAGAATCATGGGTTGGAATCCCACTCAAGAAATGGATGTTTAGTATTTGTACGTGTGTGCGTTTTTCTGTGCTTGTGTATAGGGGCCGCCTCTGTGGTCTAGTGGTCAGAGTACCTGGCTACAGATCCTGGCTCTACCAGATTTTCTGAGAAGTAGTGGGTCTGGAACGGGGTCCACTCAGCCTCGTGAGGATAATTGAAGAGCTATTTGAAGACTCTAGACTCCGGTGTCTAGAAAAGCAAAGTTAAAGTCCGTGGGGATTCGTTGCGCCAACCACGCGACACCCTCTATCCTCTAAAGTTCGCACTAACATCGCCGACAAGCGGCGGTCGCTCGGTCGGTATAGTTCGCTTGCGGACTCAAGGCACGGAGTTTGTTTTTTGTGTACAGGTTGAGGCCTTGCGACGGGCTGATCTCCCGCCTAAGGAGCCCTACCGAATGTCTAAGATCTAGTGAACCGAAGTGAAAAGGAGAGTTTCACGGAGGTAGGCCAAGTCCCAAATTGGGGCTGTAGTGCCAAAGGAAAATAAACTTGAAATATTATCCTGCTTCCCGCTCAACATGTTCCATTGCCTGCAGAGTATATGAAGCTGTATATCATTTTCGGGTTGATTTCAGTATTGTACGTATGGTAGTTGCTGCTCTTAGGATGAGCCGCTGATAGAAATGTACACATAGTGGGCATATGCAATGACTGATTTCTGCCAGTANAAAGCTATCCCTGTAACACGCCGTGGAGGCCCATAGGATTGTGAGACTTCGAGACTCCCACGTTTTCTCTAGTCAATCGGCTCACAGATCGCGGTAATGTTGTGAGTCTTACGCGCCGGCCGTCCTTTACCCCCAGGAATATTCCTTTACCACAACTTGTGTGTGACGTATTGACCATAACTTCTTATAGGCTTATAGTAGCGAAGGTTTACGAAGGCAAGGAAGGGGGGGCCATGCCGCTACATCTGTCTTCGGTCTTTGAGAAAATCAAACTTCGTCCTCCCCTTTTAATATTATTCTCTGAGTTCCCTAATTGCTCTTCTTCCACGAATCTTTCCATTCACATTCTTATATTCCTCAATGAAACTACAGCCCTTTGCTGGACCCTAGTCTCTTAGTTTCGTAACATTTTTTACGCAGACGGTAGGACTCCTTGGGCAGGGGATCAGCCCTTCGCAGGGCCGCTACCTACACACAAGACAACACAGGCACAGAATAAACGCACACACAGACATCCATGCCTTTGAGTCGAATTCGAACCCACGATCCCAGCGTTCGAGCGGGCGAAGACAATTCATGCCTTATACCGTGCTGTCGCTATGACCTGCATATATATATATATAAATTTTCTGATGCGTGCTGCATAAGCAAACCACCCCAGCCCCCTTTCACCTAACAATATCAGTTGTCAGTAAAGTGACTGGCCATGGGCATGTCGACTGGTGTTCGTCTCCAAGTTGACAAAATGGGTACCGTGGGGCCGTTTTCCCAGCAGACCTATACGAGTAACTTCCCTAGATGTGGTTGTAAAGTCTAGAATTAGTGGATCTTTGCCTTCACGTCCCTATCCGCTACGGGGGCACATGAGCGAGTTTGTCGTTACCTACATTTTTAACAATTACAGCGAGCAGAACCCAAGGACCCACGGGTTATGTAATTGTGTCCACTAACTTGTTCCTTTAGACTATTTCTCTTAAATGAAAAGAATTTTCTTCAGCATTTGCTGCCAAACTGTACTTCGTTCCTCACTCGGAGCGAGAAATTAGGTCTTGTTTGCGAATAATAATTACTCTATGTTTTCATATTTCATAAAACCGTACAGATGGGGAGTGCGCCTGAAATTCAAGGACGTCTGTATATGCTAACAGAGTCTTGATTTCGATCTCTGAATGTGTTTGTCAGATAAGTCTCATGGTGCACTTTTCATGAGACGAAACGAGTCCCCTGATCTACACAACTTACCCGCTCATCGATCTTTCTGGCATGTGCTTGTGTGCGGCTTGGGAGGTGGAACAGGGAGAGATGGGCACCGTCAGTTTGTCTGTTTGACTTGCAACTGTCTGTGCCCTCAAAACATCCGCAATTTAATTTCACCACACACGGACGAGTTTGGCTCATTGGAACCCGAGCCGAGCCAGACTCACTACGTGTATGGGCCCCCTTACTCAGTTCCGTAATCACTTTTCACAGACAGTAGGACTCCCTGGACGAGTGATCAGCCCGTCGCAAGGCCGCTACCTAAACACAGGACAACATAAACGCAGAATAAACGCATACACACATCAAACATCTATTCCTTGAGTGGGATATGAACCCACGATCCCAGCGTCCGAACGACCGAAGACAGTCCATGCCTTATACCGCGCATCTAGTGTGAGCGGCTGTCTAAGCTTTTGGATTTTAATTATACGCCAATATGAGCAGTATAAGTAATTTAATTAATGATATTAGAGAACAATAATCATTAAGGAGTTTTATGAAATTCGTGACAATTTATTTCCGAAGTTTTGTCGTGAGACTTTCAAACGTAAGTTAGTTACATGCCAGAATATGTACAATTCTTGTTTATGACCTCTGTACGTTGTAATGTTGTAGCTATCTTCAGTTTGTATCAATGCCCCAAACAGGTATGAACTGCGGAAGTATAATTGCACATTTCACAAATGCATTCACAGATTCCACTAGTAGTTATGTGCCCCCCCTTTCCTTACGATACTGACTTGAAATCAGTTCGAATCCCGGCTCATGCATCTGACTTCACAGATTTTTTTCATGGTTTTATTCAGTTACTTTAGGCATGTCTGGTTACGATTACTTCCCCTCGCGTCTTCTCCAGTCGACCTTTCATATTCCTTCTTTCCGATGCTACCCCCTCTCGAAGTTGATAAAGCGCCATTAAACAATCAGATAATAGTATAAAAACTACAGATCTCTCCGGAAACCCGTAGTGCCAATGCTATGTATTTGTTTCGAAATCAAATGACCCTCATGATAAGCTGTTCCGATATGCAAACCTAACTGTGTCCTGTAGGTTCAATCGGAGTATCTGTTCCTTGTTTCTAAGCTGCGTAACGCATGCGCATACAAAACACAGAGCACACATCTCAGAAGACTGCTTTCTTCAATTATTCTATAATTTAGTTTATTAGTGTCACGGACCAGAATGAATGGAGTTATGTTTACCGTCTAATGTACTTCTCGCTCATTCGTGACCTACTGCACAACTGAAGTTCAGACAGCGTTTTGTTTTTCGTTTTGGCGTTACAGCCCAAATTTGGGCCTTGGCCTACCTCCATAAAACTAGATCTTGGACATTCGGTAGGACTTTTTGGGAGGGTGATGAGCTCGTCGCAAGACCTCTACCTATACACAAACACAGAGAAACGCACACAAACACTAAACATCCATACCCTGAGTGGGATTCGATTCCACGATCCCGGCTTCCGAGCGAGCGAAGACAGTGCATGACAGACCGCTTGGCTACCGTGACCGGCTCAGACAGCCGTTGCAACCAGATGCTGCGTATTCCGGAACTTTCACTCGCCATTACAATTATATACACATCAGGAAGTGGACGTTTCGGCCCGACCATTGGTTACGTGGCTTGCAACCGCAGCTTCACGTGGTGGACTCACCCTTAGGAAGCCGAGCAGTCGTGCCGTGCCATTACGGGCCGCCAACTCCAACTGGCGTATAAACCGACGGCTGGCGTCGCTGATGCTTCCGAGTGACCAGGACACCATGTCTAGAGAAGGGGGCGTCGATACGCCATCTGTCACTGAGAACAAATGAAAGGTTTCCTACAATATTAAACTAATGTCTTCCGAAAGGTTCGTCCACTTTTGTATTTTGACGTTTATGGGAAAATCTCTGTTCAGTGCGAGAACCAAGCGAACCCCAGAAATGAACGGTGCGAAAGAAACGTAGATTTGTTTAACGCTTAAAACAAACGGTACACATAGTTACCACTGCCCTGCGAAGAAACGATTCCAGGATAATATTAAAATTTATCATAAGTGAGCTGGATTTTTCTAGCACAAAGTAGCGTCCATTGACAGGATTTTGTGAACACGGTTATGTACTTTCGGGTTTGATAAAAGAAAATTAATTTTTAGACTAATTTGGCGACTGTTAGCTTCTCAAGAAGGACTCTGATTCGCGAAGTTCGATTCTAGTTTAACTTTATGCCGTACAGGGCATTACGTGACTTCAGAAGTTTGCTTCTGTGTGAAGTACACAGCCTATATCCAAGTTCTGTGTAGATAACAATATAAAGACAGTGGTTACTATATGTACCACCTGCTCTAACATTAAGAAGCTCTGTATTTGCCCACAGTGTTTCTAAGTGTTTCTTCTGATTGTAATAATGAGCAGCAGGAGGTTGGTGAAACAGAATTAACCGGTCGGTCTCTGGGCTGAAGTGGTTTTTCTGTGAGGTGGGAGCCAAATTCTTAAATATTATTTATATAAATTTCAGACTTCAAAGGTTCAATAAAATTGTTGATGAAAGCAAAAGGAAAGGAAAACCATAAGATGTGATTGAGTTGTATTTTGGCTTCCCATCTACTGTTTTGGAAACACAAAAATACGCCCGACTGAGCAACAAACACATCCTTGTATCGCTTATACCTCCGAACAGTGTATTTGAGCCTGTCAGTACACAGAACTCAATGCGTCAAACCGTCAGACGCACAATCAGTTTCCACCTTGATAAGTAAATTGCACCCAGTCATGCGAAGGGGAAGTTGATGCCTCTGGGAGGGGGAGGGGGAGAAAAACTTCGCGCATCAATTGAGTCGGTCAGAATCGGGCTAACTTGGACCAGGGGTTGGCGAAGTGCTCTGTACAGAAAAATAAATAAATAGCTTAAGCTATGGCGCGGCCTACAGCTTACACTCTTACCGACCGCCCTTTACATCCAGGAAGATTCCTGGTACTCATTTCTGTTAGAGGCCGAGCCAACCCCAGGGCCATAGTGCGGCTGGAAGGATTATATCAATTAAAAAATCCAGTGACCCCATCGGGAATCGAACCCGCGACCTTTCGGCTTGTAGCATAGTACCTCAACCAACTACGCTGCCGCGCGTTCCTGTAACTGATGGAATACACAAGTAAGCTCTCTTAAAATAAATGAAAATGAAAGTACACTACGCCATGATGTAGTGTAAACTCCTCCCATTACTGTAAAAAAACAACGAAGTTTACGCACCAATTGCAATCCCAGTCTCAAGCGTTTCTTATGTAGGAAATGCTGCAAAAATACGCTGGTTTTGACACGAACCCATGCTCATGTAACGAGTCTTATCTCTCGAACATGAACATCTTTCGTCTTCGTCTGTTTCTTGTGCGTCGCGCCTTATGGGAAAACAGAGTGAGACGGACGGACGGATGTCTGGTGAATATGCATATGGGTGAAGTTAACTTTGTCTTGGCGCACTGTGTAGGTCTACGTGTACAGTTATCACCCCACTCTATATCCATAGCTAAAAAACAAAGTCCCTGTTCTTAATTAAGCACCAAACACGAAGGTATAGCTCCCTGCGTTCCTAACCTCAGCACTACATAGAGATGAGTGGCTAGCTTCACGCTCCAGCCGTTTTATTCCTGAGGAAATAGCTCGCAGTATCCACTAGGTGGGAAGTAGTTTCGGTACCAAAGATCTCCTGCTGTTTGCTGGAAATCGAACCCCGATTTCTCGGTCATCCGTCCGTAGTTTGACTTGATGTAGAGACTGAGATATCGTACACTGAAAGGTGGGTCCCACAACCGTCACAGTCACTAGCCGATATGAAAGCCCCTGCACGGAATCGAATCAAGACTCTCCTGACTGCGAAGTTAGGTTGGTGAGTGGGTAAGTGTGTATGTGAGGTTCTCACAGCGGTGTCTATGAAGTTTACTGTCGTATAGGATGTGACGCCGTATAGCTTGGTAGATGTTACCGATGCTTCGGAGGTGCGTGTTGCTTCCATTTTCCTGGTGTAAGGCACGGGAGATTCATGTGCAACGTCGGCAAAGGCCTACCAGATCTCACGGCGTATCTTCACATACGCAGGCAGGCAGTTGTGTCCCCGTATAAAGGATTAACGGCTCACAAGGCTCACTGGGTACAATGTGCGGAACCAGAATTCGAATATGGACAGTGAAAACACGAGAGCAGCAGCAGTGGTCTGTTGATATTTGTATTAATGCTTTCCATCGTAAATCAGGATCAGAGTTACTTTACGTCAGCCGGTTTACCGCCAATCAGTTCGCCTTGGCGCCAAGCCCCTTGAGACCCACGACAAATATTTTTTTTCGGCTGAATACTTGCTTTCATAGTTTATGTAACATCCTCTCTAACGAAAAGATGGGTCTGTAGTTTACAATTGTTGCTGGCCCTCGCCAGCACAGTTATTCTCAGGTTCGACTCCCGCGGGACTCATGACCATATTTTACTGTCTCAAATTCGAGACCCCTCAACCTGGAGGGCCAGGTCCCCCTATTTATATCCCCCAGGAACAGGTTGGCCCAGTTATACGCCCAGGCACTGGGTTCCCTTTTCATCTCCTCCTACGACTCGCAGGGCTACGGTGGAGATATTCGACACCGCCTCCAGACAGGAAACACATTATGTCTCCGCTACAAAGCCCAACCGGTTAATGCTCTTTAGGAAAATAATCGCTGTTTATTGTGAGAATCATACGGAACACATAAATACACTGTGTGGGCAGAATGCAGTATATATAAATTCAGTTCGTACCTCACAGGAAACCCATTGCGTCTCCGCTACAAAGCCCAACCGGTTAATACTGTTATGGAAATAATCGCTGTTTATTGTGCGATTAATATGGAACATATAAATGCATTATGTGGTCAAAATATAGAGCTCTTAAATGTTAAAGAAGGTGGTTTATATAATTACCATTGACCATTAAATTTATAGTGGGATGTGGAGTTCAGCTGTATAGTGAATCTGTCTGTCTGTAACGCGTTATCGTTGCTCCAGGAAGCTATCCTATCTACAAGACTGTCCTTCCCTCTGATGCTGTGTTCCAGCGAGTGCTGAGTCCCCCAACTTAGCGCTGGGCTAAAGCAAGAAGCAACGTAACATTCGAAGCGAAACGCTTCCCGTACTCTCAGAAACCGTTTTTTCGATATTATCTCATTTTATATGCAAACTTTCCGTCCAAAAATGATATCAATGGGTCCAGAATGACAATAATTACATTTAATTATGCTAAATCATCAATAAAACATTGCGCATTTAACTTCAGCAGTGTACGCAACTCTAAAAAACAAACAAATGTAACCACAATAAATGCTCGATATAAAACAACATAACCTGTAAAGCTAAAAATTAAGTTGTCCTTCTGCTTAAGTAATTAAGCACTGCGCCATGAAGGCGTATGAGGGAGTGGATGTATAGACCCACGTTTTCTTGACTTTGGCACTAGATGGAGGTGAGTGGTCAGCTTCACGCCTCGGCCTCTTTATACCAGGGGAAAGAGACCTCGGTACCCATTGGATAGGAGGTTGGACGGGTCCAAGAGCCGGTCTGGACGACATGGAGAAGTGAAAGTTCTTGCCCCCATCGGGACTAGAACTCCGACCCTTTGGTCGCCCAGCCCGTAGCCAATCGCTATACCGACTGCGCTGTCCCGTCTCTCAACACAACCTGAGCATAAACATATTTAATAATAACTTACCATTAAGTGAGAACAGCGACTTTTGATAGGGCGATGGTAAAAGTTCATGAAATGTATACAGAAGTGTGCAGTCTACACAACAACATTCACGTCAACAGATAGCGGCCACGAAGTTTAAAGAGATTTTCATTTCCATGTTAGTATATTTTTAACTTGTTTTAATCTTTAGCCTTTAATTTTTGAAATCTTATTATCTAAGGATTTAAAATTTTAACTGAAAAATTCAATTTATGCATTTAAAAACATTCAAGTGCACAATAAGGATCCTTATTGAAGAATTAGTTGCAAATAGTTAAATACAATTCAACAACTGAGACTGGTATCATTGTACGCCTGATGATGACCCAGTATAAGGGTAGAAACATGTAAAATAACAATATTGTTGTGCAGACTGCATACTTTTTTATATAGTTCATGTACCTTGCCTATAGCACACAACAGGATGCATACTGTTAAGATTGTAACTTCTAGTAAGGTCGAGGGGCATTTCTTTGCTATATTCATGTTGTGTATTAAGCTATGACAACTGTGTCTAAAGAATGAAGCTATCTGCAAAGTCTGCCTACCCTTTTTGGAACTTACATGTTAATTACCGTTCTCGGTTGTCATTTAAATCCAGTTCACAATTTGAGACCGTATTTCTTTTAACATTCATTTTAATATTATCCTCCATATGGGTCTAGGTCTTTCAGAAGGTGTTTTACTTTGACGCTTTCCAGATGAATGAATGCTACGCCTTTAGATCTCTTGCTTTATGAAGAAATTGTTTACTGCATTAAAACAGGAGTTTGTATCCCTGCTTTCGTGTGGAATTATTCTTATTCGTTTATTCTGGGGTTTTATTGTGTGCCTCGCGTGTGGGCTTACCTGAACATATTTCTTACTTTCAGTGATCGCATTGTTACAATTTAAACGGCAGTATTGAACAAGTGGTCGAGCTTATATTTTGTACAGTTGTCCCAAAATATTTACAATGGCCCAGCCTGAAATTCGCTAAAATTTCAACCCAATTGAGTAATATGAGGTTGCTTTGCCCCATCCCGTTAGATTATCTGATTAACGAGCAACTGAAGCATTTTCCTGCTTTACCTTACCCAAATACGCAGTTCTTGCTAAGGCGCGCTATGATGAATCGGTCGCTGCTCCCGTCAAGTCGCGCCAACCCCTTAGTGTCAAAGCTTGCTTCGCCAAGGCGCCGTCTATAAAGCTCTCTGTACGTTCAACTTTTCACCCACCCACCCGGCCATTGCTTAAATGTGTAAGTTCGATGTTTGTTTTGTTGCTTGCACTCCACTATAATGTTAACCAAAACATGAATTCCCTTTATTCCAATCACTCTCTAAGTCTTAATACTATTCTGCCTTCTACCGTGGGTCGCGATGTAGTCTGGTAGAATATATCTCTTTTGGAGGCGTTTGCTGCCTACTTCTTCAAGTTATCCTGAATGCTGACGCAGGAGGAACCTCCGAAACGTCACTGATCTATCAGACTACACGGCGTCACATCCCACGAGATCCCCCAATTCCAACATCGTGTGATTTTGTTGTGTCCCACACGAGTCCACAACCACTTCAAAGCAGATCCTTAGTTGCGTGCTTCGTGTCACCATTTCCTTAACGATCCTTACCTCGGAACCGTGATGGTGGTGTTTCCGTGGTGATATCGGGCAGCAAGGCTAGGTGCAGCAGACCCGAAACTGCAACCAGTAAAGGTACAGAGCGTTGCATACTTCCTCACCGACCAATCGCGACAAACCTAATGACAGGACACAGCTTCATAATTCAGCGCGTGCGCCTACTAGAGCAGACAGACCAGCGTGCAGCTGGTGGAGGGACCCCATGACATGCGAGAGAGTAGAGACAGCGGGAGCTGTGAGCAGTTTGGCTGGGACTGTACTTTCGCACCGTCCCTGCCTGTAACGGTACAGTTAACAATTCTCACAGGACCCTCTGTCCAAGAGGAACGTCTTTTGTCTCTGTCTTAGCTACGATGCCTAGTTGGGAAGACACAGGAAGGGACGGAAGGACAGACAGCTAAACTGGCGGACGGATCCATTATATTGTCACGTGACAGAGTGACTATAGACGGAGTTCGGATTGATGACTCGATTTATTGGACTCTTTGACACAGCGCGTGACTACACTTCACGTTCATTATTACACAAACACACACACATTAGTGTCCACGGTCACACCTTCAATACGTTGCTTGGTAGCGGCTTCCAACTGCGTACGATCCCATTCTTGTGTTCCTGAACTGTTCCCGGCCTCAGCTACCAGTTTCTCACAACTGAAACCTCAGTGGTTATCTAACCCGACCAGCCAGCTCACTAAGAGAAGAGAGAGAGAAAGTGGAGGGGCTAGTGAGAGACACTACATTTGGGGAGGGGTGCAAGAAACTAGATCTACAGTTTTGAAGGTTCCCAGGCAGTGCCCGCTTGTCCTTCTTGTATAGGTAGAGCATATGATCGGAATTCATTTTTATGTGACGCTGGAAGGGCTGCTTTATAGTAAAGTTTGAACTGACGTTGGGAAGGCTACATTAGGGTTTAAATTTTGATGTTACCAATGGGAGGGCTGCATTTAAAGCATGCAGTGCAACGTGGAATTTGGGTACCAACTCAGCATTTGCTCTAGTACGGAAGAAAACCACGGAAAAACTTGATCGAGTTGGCCGGACGCAGGACCTTCCGGATGCAAACTGACTTCTGGCCAGCAGTCCGGCATTAAATACGCGAACCCTAACGTTAATCCTCATCTGGCTGTCGGCTTATTTCATAATAAAGTTCACATTTTTTTCTACAGTTTTTTTGCATGCTTTGAATGAGCAGCAAACAGTTGTGTATAACATTTGCACGGAAAGAAGCCTATACGCACACACGTGCATGCAAACATGCATATATTTATATTTGTAATTGCTTAAGCATTGATAAGTTTAAATCTCTATTATGGGGGAAGGTCTTTTGCTCACCCAGTAATAGGATTTAATTACTACAGTTCCTATTTAAACTCATCTCCTTTCACCATGTTGTCCAGCATAGATGGTGATTGGTTGCTGTGGCCGCCGGCCTACTGGACGTTAAGTCTTTCAATCTTCCGGTTACCTGTAAAGAGATCTTAGAGCGGATTATCTTACAAGCAGGGATAAGGGACGCAGATGTTTATCAGCGGTGGGATCGTCTCACTTGTCCTGCTTATAATATCTCGGTACGGACCGCATAGAAAACATCGTTCTTCTGTTGCTGTTTACGGGCCTCTACCTAGCAACGAGTCTACATGCCACAATATGTACGGATTTTTCTTCTCCATCATTATTCACTTTCTTTCATTCATTTTGGTACTCTTACGTCCGCACGTCCCCTGACTTCTTGACCACTCTGAACCTTACCTCCTCATATCCTTGCAGAAGTATATCCCGCGGTTTCTTACTCACGTTAACACAGTTGTGATCAATAGGTCCCACACAGCTGTCGTGTTAGCTCGCTGGGGGTGGAAGTTCCTTTTCTCGTACGTATGTTTGGTCAGTTGGAGGTGAACGTAAAGGTAAATCTGTCCCTGTAACAGGCCGTGGAGGCCTATAGAGATGTGAGTCGTTGAGGCTCCCACGTTTTCTAGAGTGTCGGCTCATAAATGGTGGTGAGGTTATCAGCCTTACGCGCCGGCCGACTTTACCCCCAGGAAGATTCCTGGTACTCATTTTTGTTAGAGGCTTAGTCGACCCCAGGGCTATAGTGCGGCTGGAAGGATTAGGTCAATGGAAAAATCCAATGACCTCATCGGAAATCGAACTTGCAACCTTCGGCTTATAGCATAGTGCCTCAACCAACTACACTGTTGAGTGCCCCGGTTAGGTTGGTGGTATTCATCCAGGATAAGGCTCGAGAGAACACATGAAAGCTTGTTCTGGGATTACTTCTGGTCTTCCATACACACCTTTTGCCAGATTTCGCTCTAGAATTCCAGACCCTGGATTCTGCGAAGACTGAAGTTAGTCTGAATACCGTATACAAATTCAGTTCCTACCTCACAAAAAAGTCACTCCATCTCCAGTAAAAGGGACCAAGGCTGTTTAAGGAAATAACCTCTGTTATGTGTGTGTGTGAGAGAGAGAATCATATGGAACGCATAAGTAGACTGAGAGTTCTTAAATGTTACAGCAAGTGGTACACATAGCTATCAGTTTGTTTTAAGGGGATTTTTTTTATTGCTAGTGGGGTGGGACTAAGTCCCTTCTACTGCGGCCACTTCTGGCCTATTGTACCAGCCCCAGATGATAGGTGAGGGTGATTGTGGAGCATTTGGTGGAATGAAGATTGGCAGGGGAAACCGAAGTACTCGGAGAAAACCTGCCCCAGCGCCACTTTGTCCACCACAAATCCCACTCGACTAGACCCGGCATCGAACCCGGGCTGCCGCGGTGGGAAGCCAGCGACTAACCGCTTGAGCTATGGCGCGGCCGCTTTAATTAGATAATTAGAAGTGTTCAACACGGTATAACCAGTCCGTCTCAAACGTTGTGATGTTGTCTGGTTCGTTGCATTGTGTTACACATAGAGATGACTTTCCATCTAACGCCATGGCCCCGGTCCATATTGAGAAGCTGACAGTTGTTTATTTCGCCAAGACATTTTCGATTTGAATACGGCCCGATTATTCTGTACCGTATTCACAAAAACCAATCACTGCACTGTAACCGAAACCAGTTGAATCCAATCAACATCCTGACCGATCCTGTCACTGTCTACAATCCATTTTAATATTATCTTCCCACGTAGGCAGCTACCAGGTGTCCCCCTCAGGTTACATGCATGTTCCTCCCTCTCTCCCTTCTTTCATGCTGTTTCAGGAGGTGACTCTAATAATTACTTACTTACTTACTTACGGAGCTGGGCCCTTCTTGAGGAGAAGCCAAATCTGCAGCTACTCAAAAATTCCTCAGCATTTTATGCGACCCGAAGGTTCATTACCGTGTTCACAAGAGTCCTCCGAGGCTTCTTGAGAATTTTCGTAATGAGTTTATTTTTTACGGTGAGGAGTTTTTAGTCCCACGCCCAACCCCCAAGCTGGAGGGTCACCCCTTGTCGGCTGTCCGCGACTTCTTATTCAATATATTCGCAGCTTCCCTCCAAAACTGGAGGGCGTCTCCTCCATCCGCAACCTGAGGACGCGCCATGCCGTGGTGACAGGGACCCACCTAACATGGTGCTGACTCTAATAATAGGGACAGAAAATGCAAATGTTGCTTGTGGAAAAAAAAAATAAGTGGCGAAGAGTTGAGGGCTGGAAATGTAGCGGACAGGCAGCCTACGGTAGGATACATTTTCCTCCGATAACACTTTAATTCACGTAGTTGGCTTTTCTGTATATTCGATTTTAATCCAATATACTGGACACAGTACTGATGTCTGAATTGAACTGCGGCTAGTATGTCCAGACAAACTGACGCCCCTTTCGGTAGCCGTTCCACTTTCCTTTCTGAGTGATGGTCTCACCGGGAAACACTGTCCACTATACGATTCACTTTCTGATGTAAGCAATTATTTAGTTAGGAAAAGCGACGTACCTGTATTTCCTTAGGGACAATCCTCGAAGGTTAACCACGCCGTCGGTATCTATAGAACGCATACAGCGTCAAGTCGATTGGTGGTACGATTGATGAATTAATGAATCGGAAAATTTTGGAAGGAAACGGTCGTAGCCAAATTTAAGTACTATCCCTGAACTGACTGCAGAAAACTGTGAAAACCCTCAGTTAAGATAGCCAGTGACCCGAACGGTTTTCGAACCGAGCGTTTCCCGAATACGAGTACAGCTTCTGATTTCATTTATACTCTCCTGTGGGATGTAAGTTCTGTAGAAGTTCACCAGCGTCTCGGTCTTTACTCTCCGACCCTGAAGATGGAAATAAGACGTTCTTTCGAAACGTCTCTGTGCTATTGAGCTACCCGATATTAATCGCAGATGCTACTCTTCCTACAGTCTGTAATAAGCCATAAAATGTCAGGTCGTGTGGTGCTTTTTTTTTTTTATTATTAATTTTAAACAGAATGGAAGTATGAATTGCACGGCCATCGAGCGGAGAATCTTGATACTGCCACGCAACACGTCGGCATTGCAGCTCTCTGCTGTGGGCGGTATTGCGACTGAATTGTCTGCGTTGTGTTGCAGCACAAGTAACACGTGACACCAAGTTTTAATTCGCGTGATAATGTATAATAATATCTGTATCTAGACAACTGCGATCGGGTAGTGAAGCTACCTATTCCCCTTGCATCTAGCGCACAGTTTAACTAACTCGTGGAGCTATACCGTCACTCCCTCCAAGCATCTTCATGCTGTGCTGCTTAAATAGACACAGAAACGTTACCTTAGCTTATGTCATTTTCTGTCTAAACGAGCTCGCCCCCCCCCTCGTTTGGTTTTTG